AATATGTCTGATTTCCCACAAACTGGAAGATATGCTAGTGAAAAACAACAAGTTGGCAGAAGAAGCATCTAGAGAAGATATGACTTAATTCAGGTGAACATAGAGAAAACAGAGGTGATGAAGATTCCTGCCTGCCAACAGCAACAGCAACCCCAACAACAGACAAAAATCAGCCAGCATGAATAGGAGAAATGTGGAAGAAGCAACCTCTTTCACCTACATACCTACCTACGTACCCACCAGGGAAGCATCGTTTCAAATACAGGCGGACGGAACTGATGGAACAACAAAGCAGCGAGGATCATCGGGAAACCAAGGCGAGCTTCCACTACTCTCAAGTCTCTGTGAATATCAGCCCAACTCAGCATAACAAATAAGATCCAGATTTTTAACTCTAATGTGAAGTCAGTGCTGCTTTATGGATCACAGACTTGACGCCGAACCGCGTCACGAAGGCCACTTCGAACAAACTACACACATTCATCAACAGCTGCCTTCGCTCACTACTTCACTCAAGATCAGATGGCCAGCCAGACACGATCAGCAACAGGGAGGGATCTCTGGCAATGAGCGAACCCACCCAGCAGAAACTGGTAGTGCAAGATATTTGCAGGGAGAAATGGAGGTGGATAAGCTAGCCATACTCTGAGAAAACAAACGATCAACTGAGTGACATCACCCGCATTGCAGGTCATCACTTGAGTGGAAGGCGAATGGGAAGTGGCGAGTCAGTTGGTCGTCAGTGTGAGAATGACATGGAGGAGGAGTTGATGTGAAGAGGAGATGAAAGCATGTGAGCAGACGTGGAGTCAGGTGAAGACGTTAGCAGGGAATCAAACGCAATGGAGAGGTGCGGGTTAAGCCCTATGTTTCTCTAGGAACTAAAGGAAACAATAATAATATGTTAATATGCTGATGGAGGTTTTGGTAGCTTAAGTCTCTAGCAAGCAACCACTTCGTAAAAGTAATTCGAACAAATTACTGCCCTGCAATAGACTAATTCGCTAATAAACAATCGTAATGATCACTTAAGATAAATCCACTGACTGGTTGTATTTTGTAGGTTAAACACATCTGCATAATAGAAGACATTCGACTACAACATATATGAGCCAAGAAATCGATTTAAATTAAGTAACATAAGAGAAACAAGTAGCGCTAACTGGACACATAGAATTTAGTGAAATTTACTTACTCCATGTTTGTTACGCACTTGATTGCTTAAATTATCAAGGAGTTAAAAGGACACAATTTTAGTAGGGTAAAATAATGTTTGCAAAGATTGAAGAGGACACAGAATTGGCACTTCTCATCCGATTGATTAAAATCTAGAGTAAACCGACACAATTATAAAGTTGTAAGCTGTGTAGGACGCCTAAAGGTGTTGTAGAACTAAGATTGTTATTATTATTATTGTATCCTTTAATTCCTAGAGGAACATAGGGCTTCAGCCGTGCGTCTCCATTGATTTCGGTTCTCTGCTAGAGTCTTCACCTGGCTCCAAGTCTGCCCACACGTTTTCATCTCCTCTTCACATCACCTCCTCCAAGTCACCCTTGCACTGACGACCGACTCGCTGCTTCCCTTTCGGGTTCCACTCGAGTAATGGCTTGTCTAGTGATGTCACTTGATGGTGGCAATATAGAGTAATTAAAGTAATCTGAACTCATACTGAGTTAATTACGGTTCTTACCCCTCTTAATATTGGAACTGTTTCATACACATACGGTTATTTGTATTACAATATTTCTTGGGTGAGATTCAGTTGCAAAGACATTAAATTCATTAGCATCCCCATGGGATGAAAGAGGTTAAATTTCTTGTATTTCAGTAATTACAGCCTTAACGTTTCAAAACTCTATATCGAAGATAACTCAAGTGAAGCTGATGAGAAAAAGTAGATCGGTCGCTTCGATAAACAAAGCTTCTGTTATCAATCTCTCCCTCCCTCCACCCTGTGACATTAGATTTTAAAACTGTCATCTTATCCCATCCTATTGTACGGTTGTGTGCAATTGCATGCAGTGAGTAGTGTAGCTGAACTATTCTCTAGATTTCTTATCTTATTCGGGTCAACTAATCTAGAGTTTGCTAGGTATTTATGCTCGGCTAGTCTGACTGCCCCTGTTCTACTATTTTGACCTATGTATTTGACCTGACAATCATTCCAACAGGGTATTAGATAAACTAAATTGTTTTGTTTTAGAGGCTCCACAGGATCCTTTAACAAGACAACACCAACAATAGGAAATCTAAATCATCAGTAGTAATTCCATACAAGGAAGGAACCTCGGAAACCTTACTCAGAATTCTTAACAAGGCAGGAATAAAAGTGGCTGGCATTCAAACCCACTAACTCAATTAGAAACAAGCTTTGTCGGTTGAAGGATCCCGTGGAGCCTTTAAGACAAAACAATTTAGTCTATCTAATACTCTGCCTGCGATGATTGTCAGGTCAAATATATAGGTCTAAGTAGTAGAACAGGTGCAGTCAGACTAGCCAAGCATAAAAACCTAACAAAATCTAGATTAGTTGACCCGAATAAGATAAGAAATCTAGAGAATAGTTCAGCTATAGCACTACATGCAGTTACACACAACCATACAATAGGATGGGATAGGATGACAGTTTTAAAATCTAATGTCACAGGGTGGAGGGAGAGATTGATAACAGAAGCTTTGTTCATCGAATCAATTGCAAATACGTGTAATGAATCAACACCTGTCCCAGATATTTGAAAAATTCTACTACCCCAACGACGACAATTAAGAGAACAAGGAAAATTATAAAACTCAAGTTTCGAAGTCGTGTGATTATAATTGATATGATTATGAACAATAAATTTTGTTCGAAACCTTGTTATCCAGTATGTAATAATACTGTTTCACTGTGTGTGATACATCTAATAAACAAACTAATATGGAATAACATACTACCACAGTGCCCAAGTTTTACACATATATCAGATTGGTCGCGTTTACTCAGCACCAAATGTTTTAAAACAAGAGGTTTGTCATACGAATCAACGGATGCAAAATCTTACCTCATCTCTGCATTGTATTTAGTGAAGCGGATTGAATTTTGAAGTGACTTACTTCCTCACTTACTTCTTTAGTCATACATAGTAGCGTAAACAATACACTATAACTTTGTATTAGTCGCAAGGGTGACTTTAATGAGTGGTTCTACTGAAGTCAGATATTTGATACCCAGGTTGATACTATCCTGGAATAAAGATAAACTTTTAGATATCTCGGTTCCTAGCCCTTTTATAACAGAATCTTTAGATGATACAAACTTCATGGTAAATTTCGTCATAAACTGACTATTGTCAGACAACCTATCGGTAGTAAGTTTCATTTGATAAGTGCTTGTAATGGGTTCAAAAGTTATGTGCAACTACAAACCTAAAAGATTTGAAGATAAGGTCACTCGATTTTGATGCGGCTACGTTACCACTTACTATTATTATTATTGTATCCTTTAATTCCTAGAGGAACATAGGGCTTCAGCCGTGCGTCTCCATTGAGTTCGGTTCTCTGCTAGAGTCTTCACCTGGCTCCAAGTCTGCCCACACGTTTTCATCTCCTCTTCACATCACCTCCTCCAAGTCACCCTTGCACTGACGACCAACTCGCCGCTTCCCTTTCGGGTTCCACTCGAGCAATGGCTTGTCTAGTGATGTCACTTGATGCATTGTTTCCTCAGAGTATGGCCAATCCATCTCCATTTCCTTCTGCCTATTTGTTTCACAATCGGTTCCTGCTGGGTTGGTTCGCTCATTGACAGAGATCTCTGTTGCTGATCTCTTCTGGCCAGCCATCTGATCTTGAGTGGTATTGAGCGAAGACAACTGTTAATGAAGGTCTGTATTTGTTTGAGATGCTCTTTATGAAGCACAATGCAAGTCTCTAATCCGTTTGTTAAGTAGCACTGACTTCACATTCGAGTTGAAAATCAGGATGTTATTTCTGATGCTGAGTGCTGTTGACCTCCACACAGACTTGAGAGTATTGAAAGCTTGTCTTGCTTTTCCGATTCTTGCTTTGATATCCTCGTCAGTTCCGTCTGCCTGTAGTTGAAACGATGCTTCCCAGGTAGGTAGGTAAAAGAAGTTGTTTCTTTCAGGTTCCTCCCATTTATGCTGATTGTTGTCAGTTGTTGTTGTTGTTACCACTTAGCTACTGCATAAGAATCTGATCGTTCTAGTCTCTGAAATTTTGTTATGCCATGGTAGATTATATTATTATTTATTATTTTTCCCTTGGGTCCTGGGTGCAACATAGGGCTTCAACCTACTTTATGCTCTCCTCTTCAGCTGGGTTCAAGATTGCCTATATTCTCTCGTCTCCTCCTCCCCACACTATGTCCTTCATGTAACCATTGAAAGACCCACTCGTTGCTTCTCATTTGGGCTTCACTCGACCGATGGCATGCATTCAACGCGATGTTACTTGACGGTCTCCTCAGGGTGTCCTGGAACAATCTACATCTTCTCCTAAATATCTGTTGAACAAAAGATTCTTGGTTGGTTTGTACCCATAGTTTCTTGTTGCTAATTATATCTGGCTTACCATCAGATCTCCAGTAAAGAGTAAAGCCAGCTGTTGATGTAAGTATGCAGCCATGTGTTGGAAAGGCTTTTCGTGATCTGCAGTGCAACTTTCTAACTTATTCAGAGGAAGCCCTAACTGGCTTAACACTTATGCTGAAGATCCGAACCTTATTCATTATGCTGTGCAGTGCAGAAGATTTCAAAAAAGGGTTTCAGGTTGACGAAGGCGTATCTTGCCTTTCCGATTTTGTCACTCTGGCTTTCACCTCTCAAATCAATGTGACAAATACATGACAGTTCTCTTACACGCAGTTGAGTCGACTGTTGTGATCTTGAAATGTCGTAAGATCTTTAGAAATTGATTTGGCTAAAAACTTGATTTCTATGGATTTTACTAGTTGAAATAAAAATATATATATCTTACACTTTTTATTTGTATTTCAGAATTCAACTGATAAAACTCAAACATCGAAGGTATTAGAAAGAAATCCAAATGTTGGATCAGGTTTCATACCCGGTTGGCCATTGTACGCCTGGACTCCAATCAACTCACCTGCAAAAGATAATCCTTACGAGAAACCAGTAGAAAGTAATTTCCCCCAACAAGGTATATTGCACACAAATTCTTTAGAGAATATATATATATTTATATAGTAAAATAATTTTTGTAGTTGTCAATATTTAAAATGCAGTTTCTTTATTAGATTTCTATTCATCTTTACACTCATATATACATCATCCTGGAGAGAATAAACGATGCAATGGATATAGAACTTCGCCAACCACGAACAAGCTGGATTCAGGAAAGGCAAATCATGTGCTTATCAAATTGCAACCCCTACGCATCATCATCACAGAACAAAGCATAGAATGGTAGTCAAACTCCTACCTCAACCTCGATTTTGAAAAGACCTTCGACAGAGCAGCGTTGACCGAGAAGTAATTTGCGGAAATTACTTCAACACTACGGTGTACCTCAAGTCTTTGTCGACCTCATACAACAGCTGACTATAAGACAATGCCACGTGTTAAGTGATCCACAATGGAAAACTCAGCGAGGCGTTCGAAGTGAATAGAAGAGTAAGACAAGGCTGGCTGCCTATTATCACCGATGATATTCGTAATTGTGGTGGACTGGATTATGCATCAGACTGTGCACAGGGAGCAAGGAGTCAGGAATACTATGGATTACCTATCAGAAAACTCTATGTGACCTGGGTTTCTCAGATGATAAATGTCTCATGTCACACAAACTCGAAGACTTGCAGGCGAGAACCAACAAACTGGCTGAAGAAGCAGGAAGCGAAGACAGGACTGAAGATGAACACAGAGAAGACGGAGGTGATGAAGATAATCAATCAACAGTAACAACAGCAGACGCCAATCACCATGAACGGGAGAGATTTAACAGAGGATGTTTCCTTCACTTATCCGGCCAGGAAGCAACATTTTCACAACAGGCACACGCCAAACGGATGGATATGTCAAAGCTGGCCAGAATCGGAAAGCAAAGATACGCCTTCATCAACCTGAAACCAGTTTGGAAATCTTACACACTCAGCATACGGAACAAAATCCGGATTTTCAACACCATTGTGAAGTCGGTCAGTTTTTCTATACGGGTTAGAAACTTGGCCAGCATGTCACGAAAAGGATTTCCAACAGCCTGTTACAGACTTTCATCAATAGCTGCCTTCGCCGGTTCCATAGTGAAGATCAAATGGCCAGAAAGAATTAGTAACAAGAAACTATGGGAGCAAACCAACAGGTGAGAGCCGATCGCTCAACAAATATGTAGGAGAAAGGGGAAATGGATGGATCGGGCATACATTGAGAAGGCCGCCGGATGACATCTCACGCCAGGTCATTGCTCGAGTGGGATCCAAATGGGAAGCGACGAGTGGGTCGTCAGTAAGAGGGTGACATGGAGGAGATCCTGTGAGGAAGAGATGAGAGAGTTTGGTGAGTCGTGGACCCAGTTGAAGAGGACGGCGGGAAACCGAACAAAGTGAAGATGTATTGTTTAAGCCTGTTCCACTTGGAACGCAAGGGAATAATAGATAAAATAATAAATTACATTCAAAAGAAATTGAAGTTTGAAAATAACAATGTTGTTAATTATCTGGATGACACTGACGATTGTCTTTTGAGGAAGATTGGCTGACAGAAGCTTTCTGATACAAAACGACCCATACATTCCGTCTACAGAGTATGTTGGATGAGATATGACAACCACTCAACCCCATTTAAATTCAGTTCCTTAGCTAACTTACGCATTAAATCGATTGTAACTTGTACTAATTGTTAGCTGAATTCAAATATATAGTACATCATCGAATCAATAAATCAACCATTTCTAACTGTTCATTGGTCTCAAATAACAGTCACCTACTCGTAAACATTGATTTGTCGATGAACTAGGTGCCTCAAGGGGATTTTATAGGAAGTGGTTTCGGCAGTAGGCCACAAAACAATGCAACATCACAGTAAACTAGACAGAATTTCATTTATTATTTATTTTATACCTTTTTACATTCGAAGGGGAACGTAGGGCTTTAAGTTAGAGAGCTTTGAAGTTTCATTAGCAGTGATACTTTTTTTTGAGAAGAATAGGAAGTTCAGCAAAGATATCTTTTCGGCGATTTCATTTTCAAAAGCTGTACAATCGCATTTAAATACATAATTTTTTTTTTTACATGGAGACAATTCTTGTTTGATTCTACATAATTATGACAGCGAATAAAAGGTGATAATTATTTCCAACTAGATATGGTTATACGAGAGGCTTAGAAACAAAAAAATTACGCAGGATTAGAACGGATATCAAGTGTGTAAAAATGAGCATGGATACAAAATTGAAATAATAATTTTCAACTTGAGATGGGAATCAGGAGGTGCGAATATAGATTACAAGAGCCTTAGAAACAAAATTACATGGAATTTAGCAAATTACAGGTGTGCAGAAAGTGAGCATGGAAACGAAATTGATATAATAGTTTTAACTTAAAATGGAAGTTAGGAGGTGTGAATATAGATTACAAGAGCCTTAGAAACACAAAATAATTGCACAGGATTAAGATATAATTGCAAATTTTTTTAAAACGGATTATAAATGTGAACAGGAAAAGCATGGAAACAGACTTAAAATAAATGTTTTTATAACTGGCATAAAAAAAATGGGGTGAATCGAATGAAGACTGAGGGAGTAAGAATCACTCACATAGCGAACGAAAAGGGATCAAAAAAAAAAAAATGGAAGCTACGGTAACATACCGAACTAGTTAGTTAGTTGAAAGATATCTTTGCTGAACTTGCTATTCTTCTCAATCTAATACTTTTTTTTCATTTCTTAATGGGGTGGAATTGCTTACCTCAATCCTAACCTTTCCTCTTTATTGGCCTTATGACCGGATTAGAGAGGTCATGGAGTTCATCAGCAAGGCATTGAAACCCAGACCACATGCATATTTGGCCAGTAAGCTACAGCTGAACCACCAACGCAAACACAATTAGACGATATTAATTCTAGGAACATGATTTTCAGCGAACAGACTCTTTTCAACAACGAATTTATTATCAAGCTGTAAAGTCGTATATATGTGGTTGTTTATAATAAGAAATTATATTGTAACAACAGAAGGTTAGACACGGAAGCCAAGCTATACATTTCATTAATCAAACGACTCTTTTTACATCTACAGTTTATATTCTCTAACCAATCACCTCAACTTTATAGACTTTGAGAAGGCCTTCAACAGCGTTGACCGTCAAGTAATTTGGAAACTACTCAAGTACTACGGAGTACCCCGAATATTCATCAACTTTATTCAACAGCTGTACGACAACGGCACATGTCAAGTGATCCACAACGGAAAATTCAGCGAGGCATTTGGAGTAAACACATGAGTCAGACAAGGGTGCTTATCATTACCAATGAGTGATATTCCTAATTGTGGTGGACTGGATTATGCGTCAGACAGTGGGAAACGAAAAGACAGGGATATCCTGGACCGACGTGAAGAATCTAGAAGACCTGGATTTCGCGCGTGAATGGTTTATGTTTGATGTCCCACAAAATCGAAGACCTACAAGCGAAAACCGACAAACTGGTCGAAGAAGCAGCAAAGACAGGACTGACTCCAGGTGAACATAGACAAGACGGAGGTTATGAAAATAACCAACCAACAACAGCAACATCCAGTGCCAATCACCATCAACAAGAAGGATTTGAAAGAGGTTACTTCATTCACTTATCTAGGGAGCATTTTCTCAACTACAGGAGGAACGGACAAAGATGTCAAATCGAGAATCGGGAATCGGGAAGGCGAGAAACACATTCATCAACATGAAACCAATCTGGAAATCTTCGTCACTCACTCAGCCTGCATCAACAACAAAGTGATTCGGATTTTCAATACAAACGTCAAGTCAGTCAGTTCTTCTATACGGATCAGAAACTTGTCCAGAGGGTCACAAAGAATATTTCCAACAGCCTGTTGCAGACCTTTATCAACACCTGTCTTCGCTCTATACTGAAGATCAGATGGCCGGAATCACCCAGAATCACCAATTAGAAACTATGGGAACAAACAAAACAGGAACGAATCGCTCAACAAATATGCAGGAGGAAGTGGAGATGGATTGGACACTCGCTGAGGAGGCCGCTGGGTGCAACGCGCGTGAGACCAGTGCTCAATTGGAACCCGAAAGGGAAGTGGTGGGTGGGACGTCCAAGGGTGACATGCAGGAGATCGTGTGAAGAGGAGTTGAAACAGTATGGACTAAGATGAATGCAAGTGAAGAGTTCAGCGGAAGACAGAAGCAAGTGGAGACGTGTAGTTGAAGCCCTATGTTCCACTAGGAACCCAAGGGAACAATAATAATGATAATAATAATAATTGATGAGGTGGATTCCTTGAAGTTGTCAGATTATTAGTTGTAAGGCGCATGATGTTAATAAGAATTAAAATAGCTTTGAACTTGAGATTTTTCGGTATACCTTATTGGCAGTTGAGAAGAGATATGAGATTTACGTCAAGGACTTTTTGGAATTTCATGCATTAACTACTTACTGGTATTTTCTGGTTGCAGAAATTTTGTTATAAACTTCAGGAGTTTTCATTCTTACAAAACTCCCTAAGTGAATTTAACTATAATTGGTTTAGTTCATAGAATACTTCACGTGACAGTTTGTACGTACCCAGTAATACATAGAATCCAATTTCGGATGCTCAGAGCTAACTCAAGTATTTGCAATTAATAGTGTTCTCTGAGCTGGTTGGTTTAGTTGCGGAGCTTTCGTCGTCCTTCTATTAATTGCAAATCATCCACCTGAGCTACAAATCTTCTCTATTATTTCTAACTCAAGTATACAAAGTGGCTCATTACCTCATTCGTATTAGAATACCTGAAATGATACTAAGTAATAAGTTGGTGCATCGGTATAATACTCGCTAACTACATATGTGATCTGGAGTTTGATTTCTCGCCAACGATCTCCTCAACCTAATTAAGCCAGTAGTTAGCGTGGTAGGAAGGGTGTGAGGTTAGAAACTCCACACAGTTAAGATGAAACCACTGCTACTGAAAGCTTGAAGTCCTATGTTCCACTGGGAATGCAAAGGAATAAAATGTCATCTAGTTAACAATGCCGTTTTAGTGTACTTTGATTAAAATTTGAAAAAAAGCTAACGTTGAAATCTAAACTACCATAAAGCCCAGGAATAACGCATATGTTAAGAATATTCACTTTCAATCTGTCAACAAATAATGCTACTTCGGATATTAGTAACATCAGAGATAAAAGAAAAAAAGATATTAAGAATTCAGAAATGGAAAAGAAAAGGCGTTCAGCAAAGAGTTACTCTTTTCAGCGATATCATTCTCAAGCTGTACAAACCGCAAATTTATAGTAATTTTTCTTGGCAACAAAAGGAATATTTCCAAAGATGTGTTAATGCAATTGTTAATTTTTTGACAACAAATTACGTAATTTAGAAGGTGTTAATCGGTTAGAAACTAAAATAAAGTTACAAAAGTAGGTTAGGTGACGTAATCTAATTGCTAGGGTTCAATGAAAAATGAATGAGAGTCAAGTTAATAATCTGAGTAGAATTCACTTGAAAACGGATGAGAGTTAAGTTGATAAGCTGAGTAGAATTCACTTAAAAATAAACGAAAATGGAGTTGGCAACAGTCATCATGAGGGTAAAGATTTAATAGAGGGTGGGGGTAGAAAATAATGCACTTAAGAAACAGACAAAGAAAGGAGAAAAAGGTAAGACAAAATTACGTATTTGGTGTTGAGATAGATCAGGACCATTGTAGATTTAGTGACTGAACAAACTTCTTTTGTATGCAGACTTCAGGATTCAATATGTGAATTGCCATTGCTTCTGCAGTTTGAAGAAGTTTAATTCGTACTCTTTTGGCAAGATTCCCACGTATTGTGTAGATAACTGAGAAGTTGTTTTGTGGGTTTGCTTGGTGTCCGGATTCGATCAAGTGTTCTAGGATAGAGCTGTGGCGGGGAGATCTTCTTTCTCCTTTATAAAACCATGAAGGTGAGTGTTCGCTGATTCGTTTGGATAGCAAACGCTGGGTACGGCAATTAGATTACGTCACCCAACCTACTTTTGTAACTTTATTTTAGTTTCTAACCGATTAACACCTTCTAAATTACGTAATTTGTTGTCAAAAAATTAACAATTGCATTAACACATCTTTGGAAATATTCCTTTTGTTGCCAAGAAAAATTACTATAAATTTGCGGTTTGTACAGCTTGAGAATGATATCGCTGAAAAGAGTAACTCTTTGCTGAACGCCTTTTCTTTTCTATGACTGAATGGGAATTCAGAAATGATTTGAAATACATTTACTGAGAAGACAGAGTAAGATTGTACAGAAACTGGGATCGAGGTGGTCGGAGGTCTTTTTATTCCTTCATATTCCCAGTGGAACATAGAGTGCCTTCAAGCTAGAGGCTTGAAGTTCCTGTAACAGTGTTCATTTTTAAAGGATGAGTTTGCTAGCCTTATGACCGACCTTTGGTGAAGTAAACAAGTGCGTCTCTAACGGGGAATCGAACCTCGGACTATGTGCATGGTCGGCGAGAGTCCTAACCGCTGTACCACTGATGCAGTAGTTGGGTGGTGATTAGTGTAAATTAATAGATATGTAAGGGAACAGAGTTCACTAAATTCAACCCAATTCCTGGTGTCGCTTCCATATGTGACTATTTAATTTGACTCCTGGTCAGTTGAACTGGCATACTAGATAATTTAACATTTTTAGCAATTGAACACTTCTCATGATTTGGTCGGGTTTTCAGTAAATATGCCTTTTTAATTCAATTCATTGTTTCAGTTTATTTCAGTAGGTTTTCAAGAAATTGCTTAGGTGTAAAACCACTGTGGTTTCTCGCAGTGAACAGAAGACAAATCAATAAAATTATTGTTCTCATTTTTTGCCTTTGTTGATTGAAAACTTTAGTTTCCGTGGAGTTTTAAAGGTGTTTTCTATGGTAACATGTAGGTTCAGAAAAAAACGACAGAGTGAGAGAAGAAATATGCATTCCTCGACTTCAATTAGCTCCTCATCATCGGCTGGCTGGCTGGCTTCAAAATAACATTTAGTTTTTCACATCAAAATTGTTATGTCAATCAAGTGGTTATTTTAGCTAATCAGTTTTAAGTATAGATTATTATATAATCATTGTTTCCTTTAATTCCTAGTGAAAAATAGGGCTTCAGCTGCACGTCTCCATTGCACTCACTTCTCTGCCAACGATTTCACTTGGCCCTAAGTCTGCCCACATGCTGTCATCTCCTCTTCACATCAACTCCTCCTCCTCAATGTCATTCTCACATTGACGACCAGCTCGCCACCTCCAATTTCGGTTCCACTATAGTGATGGCCTGCATTGCAAGTGATGTCACTCAATTGATCGTTTGTTTTCTCACAGTATGGATAGTCTATCCACCTCCATTTCTCCTTGCATATATCTTGCACTACCGGTTTCCGCTGGATGGGTTCGCTCATTGCCAGAGATCCCTCCCTATTGCTGATCGTTTCTGGCTGGCCATCTGATCTTGAGTGAAGTAGTGAGCGGAGACAGCTGTCGATGAATGTGTGTAGTTTGTTCGAAGTGGTCTTCGTGACGCAGTGTGACGCCATGTCTGTGATCCGTATGGTGAGTAGCACTGACTGACTTCGCATTGTAGTTGAAAGTTCGGATTTTAATTCTCATGCTGAGTGCTGTTGATCAACACACAGACTTGAGAGAAGAGAATGCTTCCCTTGGTTTACCGATGGAACTCGCTGCTTTGATGTTCCAAGAGTTCCGACCACCACGATGCTTCCCCGGTAGGTAGGTAGGTAGGTAGGTAGGTAGGTAGGTAGGTAGGTAGGTAGGTAGGTAGGTAGGTAGGTAGGTAGGTAGGTAGGTAGGTAGGTAGGTAGGTAGGTAGGTGAAGGAGTTTGCTTCTCACACATTTCTCCCATTCATGCTGGCTGATTTTTGTCTGTTGTTGGAGTTGCTGTTGCTGTTGGCAGACAGGAATCTTCATCACCTCTGTTTTGTCTATGTTCACCTGAATGAAGTCCTATCTTCTCTAAATGCTTCTTCTGCCAACTTGTTGCTTTTCACTTGCCTATCTTTCAGTTTGTGGAAAATCAGACATAGTTCATCGGCGAAGTTCAGATCTCCAAAGTTTTTTTTGTGGGTATGTTTGGTACCTGTCTCTACGTTCCCCACTATCTCTCACGTTATTCAGTCTACCTCAGGAAAATCACTGAGGGTAGTAGGCAGCCAGCCAGATTATCTTACACACGTCTTTACTTCAAAGTATTCCGTGAGTTGCTCGATGTGAATTTCTTGACATGCAGCATTGTCGTACAACTGTTGGATGAGGTGTATAACTGTTGACGGCATCCCGCAGTAGCGAAGTAGTTTCCAAATCATCTCTCAGTCGAGTCTATCGAAAGCCTTTTCAAAGTCAATGAATTTGAAAACTTAGACATCTTGTTACTAACATCTATTAGTTAATTGTTTTCATGACTTCTCACCTCTTCATTTCACTCCACCCCAACCACCACCTATAACTGAAACTGATTAACTAAAATAACCACTTGTCTGGTAAAAACTATTTTGATTTAAAAACACTGTATACTAGCGTCAATGATGAGGAACTAATTTCCAAAATGCTTAAATGGGAATTTACATATTTAGTTTAGCCTAACTAACTAACTAAAATTAACTATCTACTTTAGCTCACCATAAACTCAGTATCTAATTCTACTTACTCTCTTCTGTTTTTAGAAATTAATTATGACGGAAGTGGCTTTCATAATCCCAAGGATTCAATCCCACCTTCCGGTGAATATGATTATCCTCAAATGTTCCCTTTTGTTAATATGAATTCTCAAGGTGTAGTAAACACACCGAATTCAAGATCTAATGAAAATTTAACGCAAACTACAAATCGCTTACAAAAGCCAAATATTAATAATAATAATAATCAAAAACCAGTCATAAATCCATCAAATATGCACAAAACGAATCAAACCAATTCAAACAAAGATTCCAATGAAGAGAAGAAGAAGACGAAGAAAAATGCTTCTGATCGTGTTCATTCTTTAAGTTTAAAATATTATTATATCATAGGCGTCAGCTTCTCTGTGATGATGCATTGGTTTTCATCGCTTACAGTATAATCAATCATTTTTAAAAGACTCACAATAAAAATTTATTGCATTGACACACAACACACATTGCCTTGTCATCCTTTATTTTCGCACATTCAATCATATTGATAAGCAAAAGAAAAACACAAATAAACATATTATAATATGCACAGAAATTCAAGTATTTTCTAATATCTTCATTCTTGTCTCTCAATGAATAATAATAATGATAATATTTGCAATCTAAGCTGTACAGTGTTCATACACCTCGATTCTTTTTATAACTTTAATTGATGTTGATAAAGCGAAGTATTCAGAAGTAGAACACAAGAAGAAAGAAACACACGCCAGAAATAACCCGTTGAATACTTGCATGATAATAACGACGACGACGACGGCGACGGCGGCGTCGATTTCGCCTTGAGATTTCATTATTTCCTGTTGGTTTTCTTAAATTTTAATCATCCTTTATTATTATTATTCTCATCACTCTTTGTACTGAAAGATTTCACTCAGATTTTGCAATGAAACGAAAATGTAAACCATAATTGTGTGTATTTGAAGACCAATAGGGGAAAACACTTGTGACATTTTAACAATAATCATTAAGGCGAAAGTTGGAGACGTTCTCACAACTTCCATTTTTCTCCATATTCTATTTTAACATATATATATTATTGTCTATACACATGGAATTCTAATCAGAAATGCTAATCTCTATATAAATCAAATGTGTGTACCAATGTGCTGATGTGCTGAATACAAAGCAATGAAATGAAGTTGGAGAACAGGAATGAATGAACACTATTCAATATTGAATTTTGTTCAAATTACTCTTCACCTATTGATCGTCTATCATTGAGTATTAAAAAATCAAGCCACAATGAAAAACAAACACAGAGTAGTAGTGTACTAGTAGAAGTATCATTCCCTGATGATTCCATACAAAAATTAGACACTGGTAAAAGACGCAGGTCTGTTGCATAAAGTGATAGATACATTGAGAAGATTTCTCTATTCCTTATCTAAATGTTTTCCTAATTTTAATCATACATTTATATATATATAATATCAAATATATCTTTGAATTTTGAATTTTAATCAGACGTATAAGATAAAATAAATTTCTGAAACAAGATTGTTTCTTTTCCTCATGTAAGAAGATTGTTGGTGTGAGGTACTTAGGGATATGCAGACTACCTGATAGCAGACATCGAGGTGGAAACTGTTGATGATACAGCTTGAAATCGTTTGCTGTAGTGTAAATGTTTGCACTCCTTGCTATTTGATAATGTCAAAATGGAAAACTCAGCTAAGCCGGTGAAGTGAAGACGGGAGTGTGTCCATCTGGACTCCTATCTTCGGTGCCTTCCCCGTTAGCCAGTTTGTTAGTTTTCGCCTGTAAGTCCTGGAGTTTGTGTGACATCAGACGTATGTCACCTGCGAAATCCAGATCTTCTAGAGTCTTCTTATCGGTGGTCCAGAGTATTCCTGTGTTCTCAATCACCAAATACGGTCTTTTACTTAATCCAATCCACCACAATTAGGCAAATCATCGTGGGTGATAATACGCAGCCAGCCGTGTTTTACTTCTGTATTCACTTCGAACGCCATGCTGAGCCTTGCGATATAGATCACTTGACGTGTGACATTGTCATGCAGCTATTGAACGAGGCTGATAAAAACTTGGGTCACCGCACGCCATAGTGGTGAAGCGTGGTTTCCAAATTACTTCTCGATCAACGCTGTTGAAGCTGTTGCCTTTTCGAACTCGATGAAGTTGAGATAGAGGTTTCACTGCCATTCTATTCTTTGTTTAATGATGATAATGCGTAGATTTGCAATTTGATCACCGCATGATTTGTCTTTCTTGAATCCAGCTTTTTCAGGCTCGCAGAGTTCTGCATCCAGTGCATCTTTTACTCTCTCCAGGATGATACGACTTATCATTTTACTTGGTATGGACAAGAGCTAAGTGTTTGAAAAATGTTTGACTTACTATCACACTGATAAATCCGTCAGTGTTAAATAAAAAAAACGTTAGAAAAGACAATCCCTGGTTTTTTTTATTGATTTGGAGATATAAACCATATACGCTGTCAATGCTGGTGGACACTAAATCGTTTCAAAGAATAGAATCGGAACAAAGAGTAATCTTTCGATAAATTCATCATCAGAATATATATTAAATAATGAATGAATTAGTTTTATGAACGACATTAATGTTTAAATAACATCAAATCAATAATATTGATTTGTTATTTCGAACACGTCTCGATTTTGCTGTCTACAGGAAGGCTATTATTACTTAACTGTATGCGGATCGGTGAAAAATTGAAGAAATATGAACAAAAGTATTGTCGTACATTGTATTAACGCTTATTTACAGACTTTGCGCATGGAAATAATTGTAACTGTTTCGTTATCAACAGAAAAATACACAGTCAAATTATCCAACCGTTTTCTGTTGTTCCGCTTTGGTTACAGAGCATAGCATTCTGCGTATAAGGTTTAGTCCTCTGGAACTGGCAGTAAGCTCAGGATCTTTTTGATCTGGATATCTGACATAGCCAGTGTGCAAAATTCTTCAAACACATTAATGAGAACTCCATTTAAACGTCTATAACTTAATTGCAGTCACAACCTGTAATAGAGAAGATTTTTTTAGCTTAGGTGGATGATTTGCGATTAGTAGTGTTCTCTGTGCTGGTTGGTTTAGTTGCGGAGCTTTCGTCGTCCTACTGGAAAACATCTTCGGTGATTTAAATTTTCCATGAATGATGGAATTACGTCTTCTGGTAATCATCTTCGTGACTGGTAGTCGATTTACATCTCTAATGATCATTTTTTATTGACTTGAATTTTGAACTTTCTGGTCACATGATTTACTTTTTATTAGTTGGAAGATTTGGTCTATCTTAACAAGTTTATTGATCGCTGGCTGATTTGCTTCGGTAACAGGCTTCTAGGAATTCTGTGACACTTTTGGTGCTTCCTCTGTTTAAAATTTCGACATTATCCTAAACAAAGTGAGTGTCCCCTTCAAATCAGAATCCAGGAACACACAAACCAGCTGTGAAAAGAAATGATATATATTTATATCAATGCATGTAAATAATTATGGACAAATCCCTACAAACCAACACTTGAGTATCAATGAGATGCTCACTAGTGACTTGCCCTATTCAGGTAAGAAGTTGCCTGGGGTTCTAGTGAGAAGTCGTGACCAGTAGGGTGCAGCAGGTCAGGCGTGAGGACAAATACTCGCCGAAGACATTGGCTAGCGGTCGCGCTATGTCGTGAATTGGCAGAAGTTAGAATTCATAGACCATTGGATCGTGTCCCAGTGGCTTAATGGTATACGAGCTCGCCTTGTAACCAGAAGGTCCTGGGTTCGAATCCCGGTGGGTGCGTGCTGATGAAGAGTCCCAAACTAGGACGGAACAGCTGTCCAGTACTCCCTGCAGGTTTTCCAATGGTTTCCTAACTAATGTCAGCTCATGATGAAAATCCTGTAACCTATCAAATCCCTACGAACTAACGCTTGAATACATACCTACAATATTAGCATCTAATTTTACAAACATTTAAAAGGAGTATTAAACAAACAAAAAACAGCGAAAAAAAAGAAAACAGGATAAACACAAAATAATTATAAATGCGAAAAAGTACCAAGAAGTAGAAAGGAAAATAAACATCATATAATAATAACTCAGTATTGGGTAGTGGAAGCTATGATATGATTATGCATGGTGACAGTAAAGCTGTAGTCATACAAGAAGTTATGAAATGATAATTAAGAATGTTTTTCGCCAAGATGATCAGTTAATTTGGTTGAAACAACTCTAAACAATGATAAAATAACATTTCAGGGTTGTTGTTTTGTTTTTTATTGTCAGGTCTAATGCAGTGTTTGTAGTGGAAGTGTGAGTAATCCTGAATGATACAAAATTTTTAAGGTGGTGACTATGGCGTTCACAACCAATGATTGTCAGTTTAATATTGCCGAAAAGTATAGAAAATAAGAAAAAACAACCACAGAACTAATAATTACATGATGGTTAATGACAGGACAATTTTGTAATACTCATAGTGCTAATAGAGTCGGAACAAGTAGATACACAAAAGAAGGAATAGAGTAAAGTACAAAAAAGTAAGCCAGTGTTAATAATTTAGGTAGCTAAGTATGTTTAAGAATGAGTTCACCATAGAATACAAAAATAAAAGAGTCTAAAATTGTGTTATTAATAACAAAGCAAGTCGTAGGTTTCACGCTTAACATTGTCTCTGTCGCTTAGAACACGGGCCAAGTATGGTATCGTTGAGTTCCTGTACTGATTTCTGGCTCTACTTGATGAGATACAAGGCGAGAGTTGGGAATAGAGGGGGTGTTGGGGGTCGGAGAGTATGGCTTCAGACCATTTTTAACAGGTATTCAGATGCCTATCAACTAAAGTAGTGACGAGCTGACTGAGTTTTACACCACTAGTCCTACTGACTACCTCCAACATCCTTCTCAGGATGGTATAGTCCTTTTTCAGTAGCCCGGGAAAGACTAACGGGGAGCAGTAAAGTATAATAGGTATGACACAAGAGTTGACAAATTATGAAAGTAGAGGTTGGGTGATTCCAGATTGTCTAAGTTTCTTAATGTGGTAGGTAATACAGAACACTTTCTTAGAAATTGTTAGGATATGAGATGTCCAAGTAAGGTCGGAGGATAGAACTAGACCGAGGTAATAAAAAATGATCAGTACAGATGTAGGGCGATGAAAGCTCCGCAACTAAACCAACCAGCAAAGAGAACACTACTAATAATTGCAAATCACAATCTGTTTCGTACTTATGGCAATCTAGAGAGTATACCAAAGTAATCGGAACCGAATGGAACTACACTGAATCACATTCATATCCCTAAGTAGTCAGTACTCTGATTAATACTGAAGATTATTTAAATAATGAAACTGATTGTAGATAAACTGGTAAGTTTGAAATAAAGAAAGGTTAAGTAATATAACGCCTATATGCTTTAGATTTATGGAGATAGAAATCAGTGAATTTTATAACTGAACGAATCATGATCAGATAATCAAGGCAGGCATTCACTTCTCTCAAGTCTGTTTGGAGATCAACAGCACTCAGCATGAGAAATAATATCCGAACTTTCAATTCCAATGCGAAGTCAGTCAGTGCTACTCACCATACGCATCACAGACTTGGCGCCACACTGCGTCACGAAGACCACTTCGAACAAACTACACACATTCATCGACAGCTGTCTCCGCTCACTACTTCACTCAAGATCAGATGGCCGGCCAGAAACGATCAGCAACAAGGAGGGATCTCTGGCAATGAGCGAACCCACCCAGCAGAAACCGGTAGTGCAAGATATATGCAAGGAGAAATGGAGGTGGATAGACTAGCCATACTCTGAGAAAACAAACGATCAACTGAGTGACATCACTTGCAATGCAGGCCATCACTAGAGTGGAACCGGAATTGGAGGTGGCGAGCTGGTCGTCAATGTGAGAATGACATGAGGAGGAGGAGTTGATGTGAAGAGGAGATGAAAGCATGTTGGCAGACGTGGAGTCAGGTGAAAATGTTGGCAAAGAAGCAAATGCAGCTGAAGCCCTATTTTTCACTAGGATCTAAAGGAAACAATAACAATAATAATAATAAACAGTATGAAAATGAAGGACAGTTAAAAGGTAAAACAATCTGACAGGACTTTTGATTCTAAACTTCTTACCAAATTTTTCTGTGTCCATTTGGAAGGCTTTTCAGAACGCAAATATCTCGAAGTACCTGTAGAAAATGATATAAACACCAAATTTATTCGGTTGTGATCTGAAAGCAAGAAGTCAATCTCTACATTCTACTGTATAGTTGACACAATCTTCGATGAGGCACACACTGTCACGAAACGCTCCGAACGTAGTGAAGTGACGATTGTCCTTTAATATTTTAGCAACTCCATGAAACAAAACTAATGACATCAAAACTTTGCATTCACCTCAGAAAGCTTGAAAGGGCAAATATAGAAACTTGTTCAGTGCATTAACCATCGAACGGTCCTTGCTTCTCTTCAAATCATGGTATATTTATAGGGATTATTAAAAGG